ACAGTCCATTAAGGACTGTACAAGTAGAATTTTTCATCTTCTTATAACTCTTCTGCAATTCGACTAATCTCAATCGCACTGAACTAGCTCTCATTCAGTTTTAAAAAAAATTGTCATTTTTGCTCTAAACTTCTCTAAGTCCAGCTTTTACATATAATAACAATATCCACACTAAATTAAGTAGAATACATTTTAGGCCCTGTTTGAGCCACCTTTTTGTAAAATGAGAATGAAAAATATAGCTGTTATTGGGGCCCACACAAGAGATAGAAAATTTGAATTTAAATGTTGATGTAATGGATAACGGTCATATTTTTCATTTTAATGAGGTAAAAAGGCGGTCCAAACGGGGGCTAAGTACAAATAAGCGTATAAAATATATGTATAAATGAATTTTGGATCGAAAGGGAAAATCTCGTTGGAGCGTTTCACAAGTTTTGATATAGTAAGGGTTATAAGACTATTTTGTGTATAGCTTTCAATTAGTATGCGTCATAACTCACACATACAACTCTTAGCCCTTTTTTTGTTTCCCATTATTTTCAAAATATATTTTTCTCTCTTATTTTTAACCACATATTCTTCAATAAAATAATACTGCACGCAAATCTATATTTTTTCTAATTTTTTAACCACATATTCTACGTCAAATCACAATTTCAAAATGCATTTCTGACTAAACAGGGGCAAAGGCATGAATACTGATTCTGTCTAAACAAAATAACCATTACCAAATAGGAAATATAAATGCTGAGATTAAGTTATACTTATGGATCGTATGAGGTGGATGAGATTCATTCCTCATAGTTTGCACGCGAAGAAATTTATCAATGAGGTGGCCTGATTTTGCGTGTAGCATGCACGCAATGCTCAACAGATGTCGAATATTTGAGGACTGTATAGGACCCTCCCCTCTCTCAGCTATTAGCTATATGAGCTGTAATATTTTTCTGCTTGAGCAAAACCCAACAAAATCTTGATAGCTATATGAGCTTTTCGCCCTAAAATGTCTTCGAATGTGATGTTTTAACTTATAATTATTAATGGGAACAGTTAATTTCAGCCACTGGTTTTACTTTTAACTTCAAGATGAGGAAAAGATCTGTTCATATGTCAGAATATTGCTGAATTCTTCTAATTCCTCTTCTTTGTATAGTAAATAAGCTCATTATTTTCGAAATTTATTTTTTCAACACTCATTTTTAACTATACATTTTTCCATAAAATAATTATATACGCAGATCCAAAACATTTCCTTATTTTTCTATCACACATTTCCAACTTTTTACTATTTTAGTACATGTTTTTGGTAAGATGGAGCCCAAATAGGCACTTAGTCTATCTTTTTAAGTACGGTCTAATTTAACTCTCTATTATTTCCCCTTTGACTCCAATTCTTTTAAAACTTTTCGTTTACACACTAATTTTTAATAATACATTTACATAATAAAATATGCTGCACATAGTTTTAAACATTAAAATCACAAAATGATTAGTCTATATACTCTTCGATTTTGTTTTCTCATAAGATCAATTTCACAATCAGTGATTTATGCGAGTTTTTAAGTAATACCACCAATTTTTTCTCGTAGGGAGAAATATTTGCTAGTACGTTTCATATTATAATGCAGCGAAAATGATTTTATATTTGATATATGAAGGATTAATTGAAAAAAATGTAAAAATAAAACTGAGATTGGAACTCAAAAGAAAAATTTAATTCAAAGACCATCGATAAAAGGAAGAGTGACATTTTGTTATATGTTACTAGACTATATATAACATTTTATAATTGTGCTGACATTTTTTTTTTTCAGATTGTTTGCGCCCCATTTTCTTCAAAAAGTGCATTTTGTAACAGTGTTATAATGGAGAATGCGCGATTTACGTGTAATATTATTTTATTGAAAAATACATAGTTGAAATGAAGTCAATTTACTGTTAAAGAATGCATTTTAATGGAATAAATGGGGCTCAAACGAGGGTTTAATCATATCGGAGTTGGTTACTACCAAGATTGACCAATATGATATGTCTTCAATTTGTAATGATAGATTTATTATGATTACGCTATGAATTAAAGTCCTTTCAATTTATTTTTGTAACATTCTAATTTCTATGATTATGCTAACACATGTTTTAATCACGTTAAGGTTATTTACAACCAAAGGGCGTGTTTGACACCCATTTTTTTAAGATAAAAAATTTTTAGAATAGTGATTGATGGGAGAATGTGTGGTGGAAAAATTTATGAAAAGTTTTAGATTTATGTGTAATATTATTTTATTGGAAAAATGTGTGGTTGAAATGAAGTAAGAAAAAAAAATGAGAATGAGAATGGGTGTCAAACATGAGCAAAATTTGTCGAAAATGATGTTTTGAAATTCTAATTATTTTCAATTAATGGGAGATTGATTATCAGATTATGACTACGCCATGAATGAAATGTCTTGTCAAAGACGTGTGAAAATTTACTACTTTGAGATGGAAATGTTTGAGGATAATATAACTCCAACTTCCTTTATATAAAATATCTTTAAATTCTTGAAAGAGAGAGCTCAAGAAGATATTTCCGTTAATTAATTTCTAATATCATTTTTGCTAAATTGCCGACGAATTAACATAAAGGCTAACACGGATTAACATAATATTGTGCTGTCAATTTGATCTTTAGCAATAAAGGAAAATTAAGATAATCACAATGTTACAAAATACAAATACAAATTAATTAAGGCC